AGATTTTAAATAAATTAAACAGTAAAAATTGTGTAGAAACAATTTTCACACAGAATTTCACAAATAATTACAAAGAAACTGCAAGTAACACTGAATTAAACATGATTTTTTAAAAAGACTAATGTTAGTATTTTCTTGTAAAATGTACTTCAATAATCTGAGCATACATAAAATGTTCAAATCATTTTTAAATGCCACAGAAATCTTCATTTTGTGTAAGTTAACCTACTGATAATCAAAATATTACATGAAAATTCAGCCTTCGTTGGGCTCTAGTCTGCGCGAGACTGACAGCTTCTCGCGTCGATCTGAATCTGATTAACGAGATTCGTCTCTCCTTCGACCGATCATACAATACGCCAGCGTGTGTGGAGACAAACTATGTTCATTCATATTGAATACATAAAGGTTTTAAACCCATATAAATGTAATATCTTACCGAAACAGCAGGGTTTTCCCTCTTTACCTGCTGCAGTCACGCCATCTCACACCCGGAAGTGACGAACCACAAAAACAAAAGTGCGACTGTAGCGTTAGGTGAAGAGCGCCATCTGCGGACTTTTCCTCAAAACCTCCAGCGAACGAAGAGACCTGTAAGTGCCACAAGATTGTTCTGTCATCGGTATCTCATACAATCTTGTGATTTTAACTATCTGAAGCGTGTGGAAAGTTTTGTTTTTGGTCACAGTTGTAACCGGTGAGAAGGAACTGCTCAGGCGGTCAATCAGGCCAAGGGTTTTCAAACTGGGGTCCATAAAGAATTTTTATTCACTTATTTATTTACAAAATGTATTTTCAAGGTTTTCAAAGTTAACGTGTGTGCTTAACATATTTATAAAATGTGAACGTAAAAAATAATTTTAAACATTCATAAAATGTTATTATTTTATTATGCTTTCAAAACACTGGTCAGAAATCGTGCGATTATTTTATATTTTTCCTCATTTTTTTTTTAAGGAAAAATGTTAAACAGAACAGATTAAAATTCAAATCAAACAGAACAGAGAACGTTAACAATGAGTGAAGTTCTCCTTGATTCTGATTGTAAAACAGCAAATGAAGGATCACTTCACATATTATAATTTTTAACGTCCAAAAAGTGTGTGGGGGATACAACATTAAACACTATGCTGTGTCCGAAACCACTCCCTATCCACTATATAGTGCACTATATCGGGTGTCAGCCATTTTGTAGTGCTGTCCGAATTCGTTCACTACTTTTTACCCACATTATTTATTTACAAAATGTATTTTCAAAGTTAACGTGTGTGCTTAACATATTTATAAAATGTGAACGTAAAAAATAATGTTAAACATTCATAAAATGTTATTATTTTATTATGCTTTCAAAACACTGGTCAGAAATCGTGCGATTATTTTATATTTTTCCTCATTTTTTTTTTAAGGAAAAATGTTAAACAGAACAGATTAAAATTCAAATCAAACAGAACAGAGAACGTTAACAATGAGTGAAGTTCTCCTTGATTCTGATTGTAAAACAGCAAATGAAGGATCACTTCACATATTATAATTTTTAACGTCCAAAAAGTGTGTGGGGGATACAACATTAAACACTATGCTGTGTCCGAAACCACTCCCTATCCACTATATAGTGCACTATATTGGGTGTCAGCCATTTTGTAGTGCTGTCCGAATTCTGAGTGAACTTCATTCCCTATTCGTTCACTACTTTTTACCCACAATGCATTCTGATTTCGAGTGTACAACCGATGTACACTCGCTGAAGCACCATTTCCCACAATCCAATGCGGAGTAGCGACGAGCTGGAAGAGAGAGCGGGAGCGAGCGAGTTTGAATGAGAAATGCCGTTTACATCTTTCTTATTTCTGCTTTAACGTTTATTTAATACATTATTTATATTAAAATATATTATGTGTTTAATGTTGTATCCCCCACACACTTTTTGGACGTTAAAAATTATAATATATTATGTAGGCAATAACTCAGTTTAATATTTTTACTAATTTACTGAGGTGGCATTGTTGTTAACTTACAAAAATGATGATAATTTGGTGGATAATTTAAAGATGTTCGTTAATCAATCGCCTGTAGGTAGCGTATTCATTCTGATGTAAAATTAACGGTCGCCTGAGGGCGCTCTACGACCATTATCTTATCTGAGCTCAAAACGCTGCTCGGGAGAGTTTCAAGATACTAAAAATAATAAATACATAAAATTATGAACATGTG